CTCAATTTTACACAAAGATCACAAGGACATAATCCCTTCGCCCCCACATCCACCTCTATACCTGCCAGACCCCAACTTCTATACACGCTTCTGGCACGTGACCTATGACCTTTGACCTTTCATTCAACTTAGACCAAAAATAAATCAAGAATGTGTCGAGGAAGTTTGCAAGGTGTGGTTCTAATAACAACAACAACAACAACAACAACAACAACAATAATAATAATAATAATAATAATAATAATAATAATAATAATAATAATAATAATAATAATAACACATACACACACATACACACAGACGCACCCCCCGCACATATACATACACACACAGGTAGACGCACCGCCCACATACATACAGACATACATACATACATACGCACACAGGTAGGTAGAGTGTTTGATAACGAGTTTACCTGTTACGTAAGTTTGTTGCTCTGTGAAACACCTGAGTGACAGCATTTTACGATACTGCCGCCATAAAATATTGTCCTTACGCAACTCAACAGGGAGGTAGGTGTGTGTGTGTGTGTGTGTGTGTGTGTGTGTGTGTGTGTGTGCCAATAAATATCATGAATTAGTAAACAAAAACAACAAACTAATCCATATAACATAATTAAACACTCAAGAAGACAACAACAACAACAACAACAACAACAACAACAACAAATAAACTCTCAGACAAAGACAAAGAAAACATCAACAACAACAAATATTAAAGGATAGACCAGAGAGAAAGTTGTGTAAGCCGGGGAACGTGACTCACACACACACACACACACATTAAAGCCTACACATGAACCACTCGTGTATGAGAAGTAATTAGTGTTACAATGAACTGATTCTAAATGAGGTGATTCACGTCTAACAACCCAAAATTGGAAGATCATGACAAAGCTCTTTAAAACCTATGCTCAAACACACTACATACCCCCCCCTAAGATCTCCTCCATCATTCACCAACACACACACCTACACCTTCCTCCCCCACCACCCCCCCCCCACAACTGTAAATAATTCACATTTAAAGACTGTATATTTGGACATCTGTCATGCTCTCTATCTCTCACTCCCCCCCTGGTGAGTTAAGGATAGCCACCATGACCTTGGGAGGAGAGGACGTGTTTACAGGATACCATGGGAGGAGAGACCTACAGGATATTATGGTAGGAGTTAGGGATAGTTATGGTACCATGACTTTGAGAGGGGGACAACGTTACAGGGTATTATGGTGTAAGGGAAGACCTATGGTACCATGACCACCACCATAGTAAGACCTGGGGAGAATCATGGCCCTAGGAAGAGGTAACTAAACCCGCCAATGGTCCATGGTCTAAGGACAGGATTATGGCCCCATGACCTATGGAGAGGACAGGTTTACAGGACACTACAGTATGGTGAGAAGACTGGGTTATGGCACCATAGCTTTTACCATGACGAGAGAGAGAGAGAGAGAGAGAGAGAGAAATAATAATAACAGAATGAATAAATTAATCAGTCCTATTACTACTACGAACAACAACAACAACAACAACAACAATAATAATAATAATAATAATAATAATAATAATAATAATAATAATAAAAAGTAAAATAAAAAATCTTCCTAAGTAAAATACGAAAATATTTCACCTGGGTTAAAAAAAGATAAAATAAATAAAAAAACAATTACCAGCGGAAGATTTAGGCACAAACACATGCCGATAATAGTTAATGTTATTGACCCCTGCCCCGCCCCCACCTTCTACCCCTCCCCTCCCTCTCTCCATCTCCACACCCTCTCTCCCCCCACCTCCCCCTTTCCTTTCTCTCTCAACCACACCTCCACTTCCCCCCCTCCCTCCCCTACCCACCACCACCCCTCCCCTTGACCTGTTGACAAAGCACAATTTGCTCGTTAATAAACAAATTAATAAAAACACTGAACTACTGTGATGCTATAACCTTGTTCCTACTGGGGGGAAGGGGGGAAGAGAGAGGAAGGGGAAGAAGAAGAGAAAGGAGAGAGGGAGGTGGAAGAAAGAGAAGGGAGTAGGAAGGAGAGGAGAGTACGAGTAAAGTTTAGTCAGGTCAGGTCAGGTCAGGTCAGGTCAGGTTAGCTAATGATCCATCTACACATGCCCGGAACATTTTGAGGGCGGTATACACACAGTCTCAGCACACGTGACACCGGTAAACACAGACCAGGAGGCGCCACAATCGATCCTTTACCGGGAACGTATCCGCTGAGTCAACATCATTACCGGGGCCGTCACGACAAGTACTGCAGCCTTTTACAAACATTCGTACGCTATCGTGAAAGACCAATGCTGCTGTAGTGATGATTATTGACACTTACTGACGGCTGGAATAGTGGAGGGGGCCTGGGAAGGTGGAGCATGATAGTGGAGTGGTAGTGGAAGAGGGAGAGAGTGGGGGGAAGGAGAGAGGGAGAGGGGAGAGAAGAGGGAGAGGGGAGAGAAGAGGGAGAGGGGAGAGAAGAGGTAGAGATTGAGAGACACAAGTACCAACACAGCATCACCAGGTAAACCCCAGGTAACTAAAAGTCCATCAACAACAAAAACTAGTACAGGTAGGTTAGGTTAGGTTAAGATAAAATAGGTTAGTTCAGGTAAGGTTAGATTAGCCTAAGTTAATATACGATACTTACAGCTCAGGTCAGGTGAGAGAGAGAGAGTCAACATCATTCGCTACTATATAACATTTTTCTTTGTCTCTCAACATTGGTGTTTATTCCCGCGTCTGTGATTCAGTGCAGAGAGACGAAGCTCTATTAATACAAGGAAGCCTGTGGTGGGTGTGTGAACCTGGGAATAACGCGATGACATAACCACCAACACACAGGACAGTCAAAGCATTAGCCAGACACAGCGTAAAGTGGAACACCTTGAGCGGATACACAAACACACACACACACACACGTATTGTCTATTTAAGGCTGAGAGATAATGGTACAAACCCAAGCGTATGGTGACGACGAGGAGGGCGGGGACAACGACAAGGAGGGAGGGGGCGGGGACAACGACGAGGAGGGGGCGGGGACAACGACGAGGAGGGGCGGGGGGACAACGACGAGGAGGGGCAGGGACAACGACGAGGGGGGGACAACGACGAGGAGGGGGCAGGGGACAACGACGAGGAGGGGGGGGACAACGACGAGGAGGGACAACGACGAGGGAGGGGGCAGGGGACAACGACGACGAGAGGGGGCGGGGAGGGGGCAGGGGACAACGACGAGGCAGGGGCGGGGACAACGACGAGGGGGGGAGCAGGGACAACGACGAGGAGGGCAGGGACAACGACGAGGGAGGGGGCGGGGACAACGACGAGGAGGCGGGGACAACGACGAGGAGGGCGGGGACAACGACGAGGGGGGGGACAACGACAGGGACAACGACGACGAGGGGGCAGGGACAACGACGGGAGGGGGCAGGGACAACGACGAGGGAGGGGGGCGGGACAACGACGAGGAGGGACAACGACGAGGCCAACGACGGAGGGCAGGGACAACGACGAGGAGGGGCGGGGACAACGACGAGGGGGCGGGGACAACGACGAGGAGGGGCGGGGACAACGACGAGGGGAGGGGCGGGGACAACGACGAGGAGGGGCGGGGACAACGACGAGGGAGGGGCAGGGGAGGACGGGAGGGGGACGAACGACAACGACGGGGAGGGGGGGTGGGGACGGAGGAGGGCAGGGGACAACGACGAGGAGGGACAACGACGAGGAGGGGACAACGACGGGAGGGAGGCGGACAACGACAGGAGCGACGAGGAGGGGGCAGGACAGCGACGAGGAGGGCAGGGACAGCGGGGAGGGACAACGACGAGGAGGGGGGGGACAACGACGAGGAGGAGGCGGGGACAACGACGAGGAGGGGCAGGACAACGACGAGGGGGACAACGACGAGGAGGACAAACGAGGAGGGGCGGGGCAGTGACAGAGGGGGCAGGGGCAGTGACGAAGAGGCAGGGACAGCGACGAGGAGGGACAACGACGAGGAGGGGGGGACATGACGAGGAGGGGCAGGGACAGCGACGAAGAGGGGGTGGGACAACGACGAGGGCCGTGACGAGAGGGGGCAGGGACAACGACGGGAGGGCGGGGCCGTGACGAGAGGGGGGGCAGGGACAGCGACGAGGAGGGGCGGGGACAGACGAGGAGGGGGCGGGGACAGCGACGAGGAGGGGCGGGGACAGCGACGAAGAGGGGGTGGGGACAACGACGACGAGGGGGGGCGGGGACAACAAGACAAACGATGACCATACAGACACACAATAACATGACCGGAAACACCATAACACAAGACCTTAACCTAACCTAACACTATAACACCATAAAGAGAGTAATATAGCACCATAAATCGTAACCAAGGCACCATAATAACATAAATATCAAGGAAAAAATTAGGACACCATAGCACAATACCCCAAGGTAGTAATAACACCATAAATAAGAGAAGAGCAACACAATACAGGCGTAAAATAACACTATAAATATTGGCGGCGGGGAGATGTTGTGGCGTCCGTCGGCTGTGTTACTGTCTGTCGGTTTGTGGTTGTGTCTGTATTGATGTTTGTCAGTGTGTGTACATGTGTGTGTTTCTGTCTATCAATGTGTGTGTACATGTGTGTGTTTCTGTCTATCAATGTGTATAAGGTACAGTGTCAGGGGTCCCAGCCATACACACGACCATCACAAATGTACACACAGACACAACACCTACACAGATACGACCTTGGTACACACGATCATGAAGTACATATGCACATTCACGACCACGATGTACAGAGACCATGACATACACACACACACACACGACCAGGTAAACATATTCAGGTGGGTCGTACAGACAATATGTTAAAAGACTTAAAACTACCCCATTCTAACGACCCATCTACCACTTAACCTCTCGTAGCAGTTTGTAATTAAAGATAACAAATATGAATAAATCACAAATTCTTCATCACACAAATACCTGATTCACTAGACACTTACTTGTAACCATGATTAATATTATTTCACTTAACAGGTAATTAACGACACTTATTTCAGTTGTTTTATAAATATTTGTAATTTTCAAAGCGCAACAACACGTCCTAAGTCATTTTACGCTTCAATTACGTTCTGTACACACACGAAGTCAAAATGTACACTGTCGGAGCCTGTCACGGGTGTAGGGTGGGTGTAGCTGGGTGTAATAGGGAATACACTCACAGTTACACACGCACACCCCCGCTGCTACACATGGTACACGCGGGACTCTGCTGCCACACCACACACACAGCCAGGCAGACCATCGCTGTCCTCCGCCCAAGCTGTCGTACCGCGCGGGTCTATTATCTACAGCGGAGGTGACTGTCGACCCCCTACCTACAACTACTGTTACTACTGCTACTATTACTACTACAACAAACACTATTAGTACTACATTCCTATTACTGTAATAACAACAATTACTACTACAGGACTTACTTTAATGAGTTACTGTACTGACTATCGTAAATGTATTCATAATAACCACATACAAATTTAATGTAGTAGTAATAGTAATCATCTCTTCTACCACCATTACAACCACTATCACAACCCCCCCTGGCACAACTACTACTACTACTACAAATACCACTACTACTACCACTGCTACTATTACTACCACTACTACTACCACTACCACTACAAATACCACTACTACTACCACTGCTACTATTACTACCACTACTACCACCACCATCACTACCACCACTACCACCATCACCACCACCACCACCACCACCATGACCACCACCACTACCACCACCACCATCACCACCACCACTACTACCACCACCACCACCACTACCACCATCACCACCACTACCACCACCACCACCACACCCTCCTCAAGGTCTGGTTGTCATAAACTTAAGGCGAGAAAATTCCTTTACGATAGAACTTAGGCAAAAAGTTTTCCTGGATTCAGCCTTCAGTTAGACCATCCATTACTATCCCGCTTAATACTATCCTGTCGTTACTATCCCGCCGTTACTATCCTGTCATAACTATCCCGCCGTTACTATCCTGTCGTAACTATCCCGTCGTTACTATCCTGTTATAACTATCCCGCCGTTACTATCCTGTTATAACTATCCTGTCATAACTATCCCGCCGTTACTATCCTGTCGTAACTATCCCGTCGTTACTAGCCTACTGTAACTATTCTGCCCTAAGTATCCCACCGTTACTATCCCTTCCATTACTTTCCCATCCGACTCTCATCCATCACTACTTGACTATCCACAATCCTACCCGACCATTACCCGACAAAGCGCTAATATTACCCGCATTTACCGTTAGTACCCAACCCGCGTCTGACCTCGTGCAGCATCAACAGCATCAGCGCTAATTGGGTGGTTAGGGATCGTTAGTAAATTGTTATTACAGGTGTTGTACTTTACCCGGACATACCCTTGAGCTTGTCCCAGTGTGTGTGTGTGTGTGTGTTTAAGGATAAGCAACAAATTTTAAACAACGCAATCAAGGTTCTTATTTAATTAGCTACTACTACTAAAACAACAACAACAACAACAACAACAACAACAACAACAACAACACACAACTTCTCGACTATACCACAATAATAAACTAAGTGGCAACTGATCTAGAAATATTTGCATATTTTACGGACCAAAAAAATGTTACATCATATTGAAAACTTAACAAAAAGTAACATTGGCTTTTAACCTGGGGGGTGGGGGTGAGGGGGGGAGTGGGGGTAGGGGGTGAGGGGTGAGGGGGTGGGGTGGTATGAGGTAGAAAGTGTATAAAGGTGAGGAAGAGAATGGGGAATGGGTAAAGGAGGAAGAGGAGACTGAGGATTAAGAGTGAAATTGATAAAGAAGGGAATGGGAGAATGGGTGAGAGAATGAAGGGAATGAGGGAAGAAGAAGGAGGAAAACAGACGAAGGAAGAAACGAAGGTGAAAATAAACATGGAGACGATTAGCATAAGACGACCCCCCCCCCTCCATAACAGGTAACACGTTAAAAAAGGGACCAATCAACAGGTGTTATTTTAGATACAAGTCTGGCCGGTAAGGTTTTAAATGGCGGCTTCCTGTGTTTTTGTGAATACTGGATGCTAGCACCTACAGGCTGTCTGTCTTGGTGTTACATGTACTGCTGGTGATGATGGTGCTGTTGTTGATGGTGTGGTGTGGTGTGGTGTGGTGTGGTGTGGTGTAGCCCCAAACCCTATACATAAGAGCAGTCCCTCACACCTGCCACCACTACCTGGCGACCTTTAATAAACGTCACCTGGCCGTCACCGCCACAGGTGTGTCGGGTACATATAGAATGTGAGTCATTACCGCCCCAGCACACGGCAACTACACAGAGTTATAGGAGAGAGAGAGAGAGAGAGGACTGTTTACAAGGTATCGGAATATGATGGAGTAGTTTGACAGGTAACACGGTGGTAATATAGGATAGAGAGATAGGGACTACAGATATGCAACGAAGTATAGACAAGAATTACTATAAGAGGAAATATTTTTAAAATATAAATTCATGACCAAAACTTCACAATAAATGTTTAATGGTGCAGGAAAACATGTGGATGAATAAGAAGAAGCGTAAAGCTGATGTTAAGACAAGCTGGCAAACCAGTCTACGCCCAACACCTGGACGTCCACACAACGAAGGGAAGAGCGGCTCCTCTTCCTCCGTCTGGCAGAGGGGCGCAGCGCCTGGACGCGTCAACAAGACCTGACCCGGGAAGCTGTATATGACACACGTCAAATTTCCCCAGATAATCACTCTCTCACTTCATAATTTTCCCTCATTTACGATAAGTGAGAAAGACGGGAGGGAGAGGAGAGACATAACACAGCCAGGAACAGTATGGAGGGAGACTGGAACGCCTGGAGTGCCGCCAAGAGCAGGTAGCGAGGGAGTCGTCCTTGGGATTCCAGGGGGGTCATTCAGGCCCCCACCAGCGGCGTCCCACCACTTCCTACCCCGCCTCCTTCACCCCCACCCCCAGGCCATACAGGAGCTATGGGTGTAACAATACGGCATGAACTCCGGCGTGTAAGTATTTATATCAACAGACCCGAGTGATGGTTTGGTCAGGAACCTAGAATGACTCGAGACTAACTGTACTGTGTAACTATAACTGTATTGTATAGACGACGTATGTGTATATCCTCTATAGTTTAGGGGACTTCTATGTATATTCTATGGAATTTAGAAGACGTATATGTATAGTGTATGTAGTCTATAGTCCTTTGTATGTGTTTGGTAATTTCTTTGATCTACTTTCCGTAAAATCTAAGAGTCTGTGATCGTGTGTGTGTGTGTGTGTGTGTGTAGAGACCTTGCATGTTTACACAGTCTTCACGTCTCGGGTGTCTGAACGTTTGTAATCCTGTGTGCACGTGTGAGTGTGGTTGACGAGCCTGTGTCTGAGGACTATCATACACACACACACACACACACACACTTGCCGCCTATTAGACACCAGAGTGAGTGAGTCACAGGTCGGGTTGTTAGGCTAACAGAGGCACTAACACGCACCACTGACGCCCGCCCCCCCCATGTTGACACTGGCGACTCGGTGTAGATGATTCTCTCACCTCCATCATGACCACTCTCTCTCTCTCTCTCTCTTTTCCCCTGTCTCTCCAATTCTTTTCTCTCTTTCTCCCCCTCCTCTCTCTCCTCCTGCTCCTCCCCCTCTTCCTCTCACCTCCCCCGTTAACACACTGATGAACCTCGATAGAGGCAACTCACACACACTGCCCGCAACCATTTGTGTTTACCGCCACACGTGACCAATCAGGGAAACTGCTCTTCTCTTCCTCCCTCTTATTTATCTTCTTCCTCATTCTCCTCCTCTCCATCTTTAACCTCCAACTCTTCCTCTTTCTTTGTTCTCTTCCTCTTCCCTTTCCTCCTCCTCCTCTCTCCCTCTTCCTCCTATGGTGAGGTAAGTCATGGATCCTCACACAGTCACCACAACAACCTTAGTGTTTACCTTCACACCTGACCACGCATCTTAATTATCCTCTCCTCACCTCACCCCTCCCCTTACCTCTCCTCTGACCCTCTCCTCCCCTCCTCTTCCTCTATCTTCTTCTTTTTCTCTTTATCCATCATCCACTTCCTCCTGCTTTTCTTATTCCTCATTCTTCCTCTTCCTTTGCTGCTTTATCAATCTTCTTAGTCCTTCTTCTCTTCCACCTCCTCCTCTTCCTTTCGTTTCCTCCTAGTCCTCTCACCCCTCCTCCTTCTTCCTCTCCTCCTCCTCTTCTCACCCTTCCTCCTCCTCTCACCCCTCCTCCTCCTCCTACTCTCACCCCTCCTCCTTCTTCCTCTCCTCCTCCTCTTCTCACCTCTCCTCCTCCTCCTCTCACCCCTCCTCCTCCTAGTCCTCTCACCCCTCCTCCTTCTTCCTCTCCTCCTCCTCTTCTCACCCTTCCTCCTCCTCTCACCCCTCCTCCTCCTCCTACTCTCACCCCTCCTCCTTCTTCCTCTCCTCCTCCTCTTCTCACCTCTCCTCCTCCTCCTCTCACCCCTCCTCCTCCTCCTGATATAGAGACAACATCGCGGCAAATCGTCCTCAGACACCACTTGGAGTCACAGCGTCAAAGGAGCGAGTCAAAGGTCTGGATCACTCGCTCTAATACACTCATCATCGTCGTCATCATCACCATCATCATCATCCAGAGAGAGAGAGAGAGAGAGAGAGAGAGAGAGAGAGAGAGGTGAGTGAGTGAGTGAGTGCGTGTGAGTGTGTGAGTGAGTGAGTGAGTGTCTTCACCTTAACCAACCACAATGCACCATTTACCTGAACATCATGACGTCATAATGAATAAATGTAAACACCTGATAAATAAAATCAAATAAATCACATAAACACTAAAGTATAAATAAATAACAAATTACGCTTCAATCACAGTAGTTGACCTTTTGACCTCTGAATAAGACCTTGACGCCTGCCACCCGGACACACACAAAGAAAACTCAATTGGGTGATCATTTCCTGTATAAAACACAAAGCCAAATGGCAAACTTTGACCTGAGTCCATCGGTGAAAAAAAGGTGTGTGTGTGTGTGTGTGTGTGTGTGGGCGAGGGAGGGATGGATAGATAACAAAATAGAAAAAGGATACATAAAGAGAGAGAGAGAGAGAGAGAGAGAGAGAGAGAGAGAGAGAGAGAGAGAGAGAGAGAGACCTGGGTTGACCTTATCTAGGGTTTAGAC